CGTCCTGGCGGCGGCGGCCCGGGGCGCCCGCGCGAGGCCGGCGGGGGAGGGGGGTGGGGGGCGCGCGGGCCTGGTGGTGGAACTTTGGATCGGAAATGTTTGGATTGTGAGTCTGATAACTTGATAATCATTCAGCTCCCTTTAGTTTTCTAAAACCATTTTGTTTTCTCCTGGGCCCCAGGTTTTTGTTTTTGTTTTTTTTAATCACCTCAGAGGTGACATTCTACCCAGTTGCTTTTCTGTAGGAAGCACGTTCATATTTGTCGACTGACTCACGGGGCAAGTTTGTCATACTATCGGTGATAAAAGTACATTGAACGGCTTTGTGAGATGACATGACATTTTACTGGCCCAGTGGCTGTGTTATCATAGTGTGTTTACCACCTTTTTACTGCTTTAATGTCAACACAATTGAGACATAACTGGAACAGATGTGGGTTTATGAGAGTAAATGGGAAATCTGACCCGTGTCGTGGGATTGTTGGGCAACACGCACCAAATAGGAATGAACCTTAGCACTTAGATGAAGGGACCCACTCAGGCTCTTAGCTCTGTGTGGTTTGAGTCCTTCCAGTGCACTGGGGAAGGAGCCCCCGTGGCATAGTGGTTATGTACTGAACGGCAAAGCACAAGATCCACAGTTGGAAACCACCAGATGGGGCTCTCTACTCTCATAAAGAGTTACAGCCTTGGAAATTCACAGGGGACAGGGAGAGCGAGGAGTCCAGATGAGTCCTGCCTGCCTCACTGTGCGAAAGGCTTTGGAAAGAAAGAGAAGACGTAGCAGCTGCTCTTTAACTGGTGCGTCCCATTTGCCAAGATGGCTAAACGTTTGCAGGAGGCAGATCATCTCGGGCAGCAGATGTTTGAATCAAGACATTTCCTTTATGTAACAAAACAGCTAGGTAGCACCCTCAGAAGGATTTATGCTTCCGGGAAGCCATGCACATGGACAGTGGTGGCCCTTTAAATTCTCTGAGGGGGGAAAAAAGCCATTATCAGTGTTCACGCATGCAGCCCTGGTGGTATAGTGGGTACGAGTCGGACTGCAATCTTCAAGGTCCACAGTTTGAAACCAGCTGCTCCCCGTAAAGAGTTACAGCCTTGATGAGGGCAATGAATGTACAGATGTGCTTTACACAATTGATGTGTGTATGGATTACGATAAGAGTTGTATGAGCCCCTAATAAAAATGATTTTAAAAGAGTTACAGCCTTGGAACTGGGTAGGCGCCATTCTACCCTAACTTACAGAGTTATGATGACTTGGACTTGACTCAATGGCAGTGAGCTTGGTTTGGTTTGGTTTGCTTTGGTATAACTTCTCTGAGCACCTACATGCTTCACAGTACAGTCAACCAGATGAGACCGAAAGGGCAGCGTTTGCCCTTGAACAAAGCTCAAGAGGTAGGAAAAAAGATGGATGAAGACGGTAAAATTTTCTGGGAGTAGAACATTTCATCATCTTCCTCCCACCCGCAAAGCACAATGGGTATAAACTGGTGAGTGGGACACAAATTTGTTCTGTAAACATTCACCTAAGGTACCACTAAGACCAAAATGTCAGAAAAATATGAACCGGCAAGCTTATCGTGTTTAACCCTGTGTGACCTAGTAATATGGCTTTGGAGACTTCATCCTAAGGCATTAAATGAAGACGTGTGCAAGAGTTACACAGTGAACACTTGGAAATGACCTAGATGCACAACCTAAATGTATGTAAAGTGTTATATACTCTGCTGTTAATAAAACGCACACACAACCATTAGAAGTGATGCTCTGAGAAAGACTTTAATAGCATAAGAAAAGGCACATCGAACGCGAAGAGAAACAAAATCAGATCAAGGAGAATGACAGTATTATCATAGGTACTTTTATGATTCATCTGCATGTTCATCCATTTCTACAATGAAGAAAAATTGCCCTCATAATAAAAAAAAGAACGATATACATCACAGGGGCATCTACATTCAGCTCCAAAAGCAATCCCAGGACAGTTGGGGCAGTTGTAGCACCTAGCTCTCAGTGAATGTGTGTGTACGTGGGGGGAGGTAGATGGATGGTCAGATGACGGTTGGACTGACTGAACCAATGCATGGCTGTTGTCGGGTGTAGGCACCACTGCTGAGTGTATCGGACTTGAGAAGTAATAGATGTAGGTTTGTTAGTTCAAAGGAGAACGGTTCAGACCAGTCATTCAGGCCAAGGATGGCACGGAAGGTTCGGAGGGTTTACAAAATAAAGGAGTGGTTGACAGTAGCCAAGGAGTGAGGTCTGCCCTTGGGCTCCTGGCTACTCTTGACACCATGGTCCCTTTTGTTCTGTGTGTGTCCTTAGGCTATCTTTTGGACCTGCTGTTTTCACCCTGGTCTCTGTGGGGGTTAGCTCATGACTGAGAGTGGTGTGCATGAAAGCAGAGGCATGAGTTCAATTCCCAGTGGAACCAGCTAACAGTTCTCCACAGAGGGAGAAGGCTTTCCAAGGCAAACTCTGGCTGGCCAGCACGCAGAGAGCTGTTCATTGGTCACGTGGACAGGCCAGGGAGTATTAACAGGTTAGGGCAACCTGCTTCAAACACTTGTGAAAAACTACCGCGTCCACCTGGACAAAGAAGGCTGCGTGTTCCCGTATTTTATAACAAGCTTCACTATATGCTGTTCACGAAAGCGGCAAGTGGATTGATTGACCTAAATTCAGTCATACAAGGTCTTAACATTTGTGGATTTTGATCAAATTGCTGAACAGAGACCGGCTTCTTTGCTAGTCCACTAGGCGACCACTCTAACCATGCGGATGGCCTCTGAGTGTTTCTCTGCGGGTGCAGTCTCTTATCAGTGAGGGGGCTTGTGTCAGAGAAAAGTCATTAGATTGTACTGAGCATTCTGTACTCTCTCTGCTGCTGGCGGCTTCGGAGGTGCAGTGCTCTTACTTATTAGTGACTCTGAAAGCCCCCTGCGTGACAAGGATGCCTTGCCTCGTGGGTATCGGATCTATCTTGATGCTGGTTGAGATGGGGTGTTCGACTGGCTGTTTCTCTTTTTCAACTCGAGTCACTTCTCAGCACTCACTTTCCCAAACCCGAATCTTGGTTGAGTAATTCAGAGTTTGGAGCCTCATTGTGCTGGAGGTTTTAAATTCCGACTCTGACGGTCTCTCTGAACGTGAGCAGTTAGCCGCTTTATGCTTCAGGCTTTTAAGGGAGAGAGGTGAGAACTAATGTATTCACATAAATCCTGTGTTAGTTTTCACTGTAAGCATCAAGATAGGAATGACTTCCCCATTTTTACCAGTGAGGCAACAGTTAGCTTTGAGAATTTAAGTGACTGAATTGTAATTTGAACACTGATCTGGTGGACTTCCAGGGCTCAAGGTTTTCTTACACTGAACTGAATCCCACACTGCTCAATCCCCTAGCCTGCCTCCAGTTCCCCTTTGATCCTGCAATTTAATTAACTGTCACCATTTTGTGTATATTACCTTGGGAAGATAAGTCCTTTGCAGCCAGACCAGGAAATTAAGCTCCCTTTGAGCCCCCCATCGTGAGGACATTGGCTTGAGCCTGCTTTCAATTTTGTCTGAAACCTAGTGACTCTGTATTTCACCTAGTTCCCAAGAACTCAAACTACAATGGAAGAATGTGTTTTCCCGGGCATCACTGTTACACGCTGGATGGTCAGCTTGTCAGAGTCCTGTGTTCCGTCCGTCATTCACTTGAGAGCAGAGGAGTGTTCAGTTGTAGGATCAGAAAGCACACTCTGGTGAAGGCAGGCATGGTCTTTTCTGGGCCAGAGTGGTCAGCAGAGCAGCTGCAAAATGAGCAACAAAACAAAACAAAAGGTGATGTGCGTTAGAATGGGCTAGAGAAAGAGGAGCCCTGGTGGTTGTACATTGGGCTGCTAACCTCAGGATCTGCAGTTCGAATCTACCACTCGCTCCTCAGGAGACAGACAGGGCTCTCTATTCCCGTAAAGATTTATAGTTTGGGAAACCCACAGGGACCCTAAAGGGTCATCACTATGAGTTGGAAATGACTCAATGGTGGTGAGGTTCAGGTTTGAGAGGAAAGAAACAGGCTACGTGGGTCGGAGGGAGTGGGAGAAGGGAATCTGAAGAGTCTGAGGATTGCAAAGAATGACCATTACCCTCGGAGACATGAACGAAAGATAGCTGGGAATCCATCGACGTCTAAAGGGGAACTCCAGGTGCAGAACAGGATGACTTGGTGACATCCGTTGGAGAGGAGGGGGGACCCGATGGGACCTAGGGTCTGAACATTATAGCTTGAGATTGAATGAACCCTCTCCCGGGCCTCTGGGAATTGACCATTTCACCTTGGATGCAAATGCCTCCCCAGGGCATTTCTTTAGAGCCCTGCTTCTCACTGGCCTGGCACAACCGCTCTCAGACCCCCGAGTCTGTTAACAGAAGCCTGGCTTTCCCTGAAGTTCAGGGCCTTGGGGTCTACCTCAACTGCGATTATGTTGACACCAAGTCCCAGACAAATGAATCCCTACTAGCTCTGTTTGTTCTTGCCCTCTTTTGGTTAAGGAAACTGCCCTCCTTGGGTTGGGTTTTCTGTTTGGGCAGACAATCCAGTTTAGGGCCTTCAAAGCTTCCCAGGGAGGTCCCTCCCCAGCCTGTGGTCACATTTCTGCTGCCAGCGTTGCCTAGCGGAAGCTTGCCCATCTTTTGAAGCTGACAACACCATCACATCACTTCCTGTCCCCCCACAGAAAGTAGAGTCAAGTACCTGTGCCTCAGCTGGTCTCCTGTGCCATTCCAGGGATCCCCTTCTGGGGGACAGTGTCCCAGGAAAATGAGAACTTGGGAGTCAGTGGAAGAAGGTCTACCTCTTCCCCCCACCTTTCCTTCCCTGTGTCTTAGGATTTGTGCTGCAGCATTGTCAGCGATGAGTTGCCACACACAGCATATCCGCCCACCCTCCTCCCAACCCCCAGTTAAAAATCTGGTGAATTGACCCGTAAAGAGCAAAAAACAATGGCAAGAGAAGATACTCCTTAAGGAAAAATTGCTTTGAATACCATGGGGCTTGGGAGGAAACAGGTTTGGGAATCTAATTCAGGTTCCTGCCCTTCATGCAAAGTCACTATAATAAAATCACTGAATTATGGTGGACCAAAAAGAGGTACAGGATCCCTCACCTTCCCAAAGCAACCAGTATCTTCAACAGTTTGAAAAACAACAACCACCTCGTTTCTCTAGTACAATAGACAATAGCCACATGTGGCCATGTAGCATTTGAAATGTAGTAACTTGGAAGGGAAATACACTGGCTGGCCCAGACTTAGTTTTGAAAAACGAATCATTGCTTTCTATCGACTACATATTGAAACGATCACATCTTGGATAGATCTGGTTAAAAATTAAACTCAAAGGATTAGCTAGGCACTTTGGGAGGCAGTGAGTTTACGTGAATGGAGGAGAAAAAACAGCTCAGAAAAGGAAGGCGAGAATGATTACACAACACAAAGACGGTAAACAGTGTCCCTGATTTGTACACATAGAAACTGTTGAATACTACAATATGTTCTGCTGTATGTATGCTTAATAACATCAACAATTTAAATTATTTAAAAAACACCCCAACATTCAAATTCAGGCCACGGGTTTCTTTTTACCTTTCTGACGTGACTGCTGGCACATTTACAATCATTTATAGTGCTTGTATGACCTGGTGCTGCTCTGCAATTCAACACGAAGTTTTAACTTCGAAACAGCTTTTCAGTGGCACGTTTCTACACAGCTGACAATAGAAAGGGGCTACATGTCTCTCAGCAATCAGCCTATATGTTCAAGAGAAACAGGCTTTATTGCCAAAGAAAGACAAGACTAGAGCTTTGCAAACAGGGAACCCGACACTAGGAGACAAGATCCTGCCTCAGTGGCCTCTCAGCCTAGGGGTCAGTTGCCAGAAATAAGTCCCCTTCCTTCACAAGAGCTCCTAGCTGGGGCCCAGAAAAGAGAGCAGAAAGCCACTTCGAAACCCATGTTCTCACCGTCTTAGCCATCGAGCTGGGGGTGGGAGACAGTGACAATGCGGCAGGAACTTTCTCTGGGGCCCCCGGGGCCGCCATTCCTGGCAGAACAAAGGCTGAGGAGTGAGGTGAGCCTCTTCTTCGCTCCCAGGGCCATCTGGTAGAGCTGCTGCCTCACCTCCTTCTGCCAGTAGGCATAGATGAGCGGATTGAGCAGGGAGTTGGCAACACCGAGCAGCCACAGGTACCGTTCCAGCAGTAGGTAGAGGTGGCAGCTCTGGCAGGCCACCTGCACGATGCCTGTGATCAGGAAGGGAGCCCAGGACAGGGTGAAGCTTCCAATGAGAATGGCCACAGTGCGGAACGCCTTGAAGTCGTTGGGAGTACGCGGGGAACGGTACGTTCCGGCTCCAGCCCCTGCCTGCTCCATCTTTCGGATCTGCTGGCTGTGTGCTGAGGCAATCTTGAGCATATCGCAGTAGAAGAAGACAAAGAGGAGCAGGGCCGGGAAGAAGCCAGCGCAGGACAGGGTCAGCACAAAGCGAGGGTGGAAAACGGCGAAGAAACTGCAGGGTCCCTGGTACGTGGTCTGCTGGAACATGGGGATGGCGAGTGGGAGGAAGCCAATGAGGTAAGATACCAGCCACAGTCCGGCAATGCTGGTCCCTGCCATGAGCCCACTCATGCACTGGAAGGAGCGCAGGGGCCGCTTGATGGCCAGGTACCTGTCGAAGGCGATCAGCATGACGGTGAGGACCGAGGCGGTTGAGGAGGAAGTGATAAAGGCCATCCGAAGGCTGCACAGGGACTTCTGGGTGGGCTGAGGAGGGCTGGAGAGCTGGTCTGTGACAAGGCCAGAGATGGCCACCCCAATCAAGGTGTCAGCCAGAGCCAGATTCAAAGTGAAACAGAGAGCCGCACCCTCGTTTCTGTGGATCAACACCAGCACCACCACAGCCACGAGCGCATTGGCCACAATGATGAGGGTGGCCAGGACAGCCAGGATCACTCCAAAGGAGAAAGACGACTCCATTTCTTCCAGTGTCCCGCCTTCTCTTTACCAGGAAATGCTGCTTCTGCAGCTCAAAGGCTCAAGGGCCAGGGGAGAAAAAGCCGTGGATTCTGAGGGCTGGCACAATGCCGACCATCACCAGGCAGTCAAGGCTGGCAGCTTGGCCTTTATGGATCCTGCAGGTCTCAGAGCACCCTCCCGCTCGCTTCCTCAGTCCTCAGTCCAGCCTCCTGCGGCTCCAGCTCTCTGAAGACAGCAGTACCTGTGCAAACCTCCCCCTTGGGCTCTGAGCTAGCCCCTCCCCTTCCAATGACCAAGTTACCAGACAACCCCCAAGTCCCTGGCACACACGGTCTTTGCCACGCTCTCTCCCTCTGCTGATGCGTCAGGAACTCTGGAGAGAGGGACACCCATCAGGTCTCCTGTTTGGCAGAAGATGTAATTGACTCTAATCACATGGGGTTTTTGCCCCCTCTCCATAAATTGATATTAAATTTCCACTTCTTTTCTTCCTAAGCCTGAAGTTTTAGCTTAATTATGAACCTCAGCTGAATGAAGCATTTGCTTAATGACTAATTCTCAGTTACTATTATGAGGGCTTCTAATCTGGCCAGCTGATCATAATCAGTTGGAGTGGGAATTATTTCAGGTGAGTGATTTCAGGGGCTCAGCCTCCTTCCGAGGTGGTGGCGGCGGCGACAACGGTGGGGTTACCACACATGTAAGCTGCTTGTCTTCTATTGCTTTCTAGCAGCTCAGATTGAAATGCTCTCAAAGAGGGTGGCCTGTTCTCTGGGGTCTTATTTCTCTGAATGCAATGACTTGAGGATTCAGAAGGGGGGGAGGCCAGGTAAAATTTCTGTTAATTGCAATTAGGTGGTACAAATGCTTAACTGAGATGCTAACATAAAGGTTAGAGCAGCGGTTCTCAACCTGTGGGTCGCGACTTTCACAGGGGTCGTCTAAAACCATTGCAAAACACATGTTTCCAATGGTTGGGGGTCACCACACCACGAGGAACTGTATGAACGTGTCGCAGTTGCGGCATTAGGAAGGTTGAGAACCACTGGGTTAGAAGTTGAAGTTCAACCAGAGATGCCTCAGAAGAAAGGCCTGATAATCTATTTCCCAAAACATTGGCCTGTGGAAACCTCACAGAGCACAGTGCGCTGATGCACAGGGATAGTGCAAATAGTTAATTCCCTGGGCTACTAACATGAAGGTTAGACATTTGAGTCTACTTAGAGGTAGACTCAGAAGAAAGGCCTGGCAATCAAATTGCCAAAGATCAGCTCTTGAAAACCACGTGGAGCACATTTTTCTTGTGACTCACAGAGGTGTTGCTAAGAGTTAACTCGCAAGGCTATTATATAAAGGTTACAAGTTCGAGTCCACCTAAAGGTGCATCAGAAGAAAGCCCTGGCAATCATCAGCCCTTAAAAATTCTATGGAGCATTGGGAAGGTGCAAGCACTTAACTTGTTAGGGTGCAAACATGAAAGTTAGAACTTTTGTGGATTTCTTTGGTTTGAAATTTGCTCATGTGTCACAAAAGATTTGAAGTCAGTTTTGATTTTACTTTTTCTTCTTTTATAAGCACCCAGACCAGTGTTTAGGTCTGATGGATAATGAATCAGGAGGGTTTTAAGGGTCGTGGCCCTTTTCCCTCTATCTTAAAAAAAATTCATTTTATACATTTTCATTATTATATTTCCCTTTTATTTATGGAATATATATGAAGACACACATACTTGATGTAGTTGTGCAGTCCATCACAGCAACACAGTGACAGTAGCCCAGTAAAGGCCCCCATCCTGCCCCCGTGTATGTGGTTCTTTGTTCTTATCCTTGTTTTTACTTTTCCTACCCACCTTCCCTCCTTGTCTCCCTGTCCTCTCCTTCCTCCTCCCTCCTCCCCCCGCCTCCACCTCAGCATAGTCTTCAAAGTCTTTTCCTTTGTTGTAAAGGCCATTTTTCTCCTTTATAATAATGGTGTCATGGAATGCTTACCTTCACGAGATCGATTAGCCTTGCTGAGCATAATGTCCTCCAGTTTTGTCCATGTCACGAGGTGTTTGACAGATTCATCATGTTTTCTAGAGATGCATGATATTACCTTGTATGTGGGTACCGGTGTTTGTTTATCCGTTCCTCCACAGAGAGGGTGTTTGATTATTTCCATCTTTTTCTATTATAGAAATTGCTGCAATAAACTTGGGTGTGCATATGTCTGTTTGTGTTTTGTCCTTTATTTCTTTAGGGTATTTACCAAGTAGAGATATGTCAGGATCATAAGGTATTTGTGTTTGCATTTGTTAAGGAAGCACCGTACTGTTTTCCATAGTGGTTGTACAATTCTGCAATCCTACCAGCAACGTATCAGCATTCCAATCTCTCCACATCATCCCAGCATTTATTTTCTGGTTTTTGAATTTTGCTAAGAATGTCAGTGTGTGGTGGCATCTCATGTTGTTTTAATTTGCATTTCTCTTAGAGATAATGAACACAAGAATTTCTTCACGTGATTGTTGGCCTCCTGGGTGGGTGAAGGGAGACGTCGGACAGAGCAAGATATGACAAAATAATAATTTATAAATTATCAAGGGCTCATGAGGGAGGGGGGAGCGGGGAGGGAGGGGAAAATGAGGACCTAATGCCGGGGCTTCAGTGGAGAGCAAATGTTTTGAGAACGATGAGGGCAATGAATGTACACAATGGATGTGTGTATGGATTGTGATAAGAGCTGTATGAGCCCGTAATAAAATGACTTAAAAAATTCTCAATAAAATAATTTTGAAGAAGAAAGGCCTGGCAATCTACCTCCAAAAATTCAACACTTGAAAACACTACAAAGCACAGTTCTCTTCTGACACATATGAGTGGTGCAAATGGTTACCCCCCTAGTCTGATCAAATAAAAGTTAGAAGTGCGAGTCCACTCAGAGGTGTCTCAGAAGAAAGGTCTGGCAATCTACCTAAAAAAAATCACCCCTTGAAGACCCTATGGAGCATAGTTCTCTTATGGCACATAGATGTTGGAATTAGATTTATCCCTAGGCTTTTAACATGAAGATTAGAAGTTTGAGTCCACCTATAGGTAACTCAGAAGAATAGCCTGATGATATATTTCCCCCAGAAAATCAACCCTTAAAACCGTACAGAGAACATCTTTTCAAACACACAGGGTTGGTGCAAACAGTTAGCTCACTGAGCTGCTAAAAAAAATGGTTAGAAGTTTGAGTCCACCCAGAAGTGCTGCATGAGAAGGTCTGGCAACTGACTTCCCCAAAATCAGCGATTGAAACCCTAAGGAGCACAGTTCTTTCCTGACACATAGGCATGCTGCAAAAAAGTTATTTCTACAGGCTGCAAAAATGATGGTGCCCGGCTATCAAAAGATATAGCGTCTGGGGTCTTAAAGGCTTGTAGGCAAACAAGCAGCCATCTAGCTCAGAAACAACAAAGTCCACAGAGAAGAAGCACATGAGCCTGTGCGAACACAACGTCCTGAAGGGAACAGGCAGCAGACAC